AAGATTCACATAACCTCTGAAGGTATTGTTTAAGTTCATCCGTACAATATAGAGAAGAAGTGTAAAAGTCTAAAGATTTCAATAATTTCTAGATTTCGCTTTTCATATTGAAAAAATATTGCAGTTTCATCGTCTACTGATGGAATTATGTAAGAAGAGCTATGAAAGCAAGAGAGAAACAACTGAAAACAGATTTTTTCGATAAGCTGAAAGTTAGTTAAATAATATTTTTGGTGCTTCTGGCGTCTAGAATCGCATAAATAGCGATCCATAATATCAATCTTATATGAAATATAGCCAATACAAACGCAGCTATTTCATGAAATCACAATAAGTGTTTGCAGACACTTTAAAATCTTATAACAATAGCGAAATATTATTTGACGTTTTAAATTAGATCATATCTAGGGTGTCCATAATGAGAGTCAGAGTGATGATGTGCCTCAGCGCTTCGATAAGAGCAATTGATCTCTCGTGTGTTAACAACAACAAGCTGCTTGCTAATGTTGAAATTTTGTTTGTCTATTGATTGTTAGTTTATAAAATAGGGCTGAGCAATCACGTTATACTATATCATGAACTCATGTGTACTGGACATTTTCACAGTGCTGGAACAAGATTCGATAGTCTCCAACACAGTTAGGACAGCTATTGACGGAGACTTTTCAAGTGTATGGGCTTGGCCCTCTCTTCAAATATACCCACAGCCTCCATATGTTAATGCTATTACTCAAGATTTTATTTTTTATTTATTAATTAATTTTAATATTAATGTTTTATTAATAGTATGAAGCTTAATTTTAAATTAATGTAAATGATCCATTCCTATTGTAAAGTCATTTTAGTGCTCTTATGCAGCGTTGGAAAAATTCTTTAGGTTCTATCTACAACAAAAATTTTCTAATGTGCATATGATCTTATGGATGCAGTGCACGTTCGTACGTGGAACCCATGAAGAAATCTTCGTAAAATGGTAACATATTAAGTTTAATTTCATTGTGTATTAATTATAAGACCTATTCATCTTTAATTTTCTTCTAGAAATTCAGAAAAGTTTTTATCATAAAACAATCATTCATAATTGAAGAAAACAAAACTTCATGTATACACGTCGGAGTTTGTTCTACGAATACTTATGAGTCTGAGAATGCATTTCTTTTCTCAAAAATATCAAAAGGCATTTTTCAAATGAGATACAAACGAAAACCCAGAATACGTATTCAATTGCTGGCCGTCTATAAACTAGGTGTAGGTGTGTTTGCCTCCTATAAATCAAACTCACAACCCATCCTCAGAACATGAAGGAATTGAAAAAGATTCTTCGCTTGAAATATGAAGAAAACAGTTTTGTATAAGTGATATAGTTTTTTCCATTAAATCTTGAGATTTTTTTGAGGAATACATGGAGAACATAAGCATCTGTAGCACTTAATGATACAAATAAACTACTTTCATAACTTAATTAATAGCTTTTTTCCTTCTTATTTTTTATCTTTACAAAATCTCCTTCAACATTTCGGATGGATTAATAAAACGAGCAAAAGGTTTTGCAGCTAAATTAAAACTGATAAAAAAGTCAGTTCTTCTTTCTTGACAAAATAGAGAAATTTATATTTATTGTAAATCATTTTAATACACGAAAGAAATCCTATTCTTAAATAGATTTAAATTCTTGCATCTAAAATAACCAATAGTCATTAGTTAATATTATCTTTTATTCGAACGTCTAAAATTTAGTTTTATCTTTGTTCAGAGTTTCATATTATTCTTTTTTTTTATCGTTTTCAAGGATATATTAGAATTTGAAGTTTGTTGTTGCAGAAAAAAAAGTTAAATTCTTGATTTTTCAACAAATTTTCTCGAAATTGTATTTGATTACAAATGAATCTAAATTGTCATCACCGAAAATTTTATTTTTTATATAAAATATTCTTTACAACAAATTAGCTTTAAACAAATGTACAATGATGTAAAAAATATGAATTAATAAATAAATATCTATTTTCGAAATGTAAAGATTTACTAAGACTCTTCATCATTTTGATAGAAATAGATTTTTTTATTCTATTGATTATAGATGAGATAATGTCTGAATTTATTACTGGAATTAGATCATAGACTAGAATTCCACCCGACCCAAGGCCGGGGAGAAAAGTCGGCTGACTGCACCAGCCCAAAACACNCAATGTCTCAAAATGTATGAAAAATGATTTTTAACGTGTTTTTGAAAGAAAATTTCGTTGTTTTTAAAAATTTGGTACACGAAAGTTCTTCAAAGTCTTACTATTTACTATCACTAAACCCCATTTTTCACGGGCTTTCATTTGGTATAAAATTCATGATATCTCCGATTCGAGATCATACTGTTACCCCCCTGGAATAATATTATTTACCACCCTGTACAAATAATATACAAACCAAAATCAATTGTGAATCTTAACTGAGGTGGATTGGTGTAGATGTGCATGTGAGTGTGAGTCTAAATTTGGGTGTGTCGGCGTTGGTGTGGATTGGAAGAAGATTCACGGCTACACCCAATTCCCACACCCACACCTTCTCTAAAATTCATGTACATTCTGAGAGAGAAAACTTCATCGCATCTTTCTATGATAGAAACTCAACTTTTATTCTCGTTCGAAAAAAGAGAATTTTTTAGGGGGTGGGGGCTTAAATCAATATAGTTAATAAAAAAAGGGAATAAATTTATCCTGTTCTATATACTGAGCAGTATTTCTTTGTAAATCTAGTTTTTCTGTTTATCGAATTCGTATCCAACCTTAAATTAGTCTATTGAAATATTCCGTCCACGATAAAAAAATGTAAAAAATGAGAATAGGGAGGCTCTTTCAGTATTTTAATAATTTACAAGTTTCTTAACAACACTGATTTCATTCTTATTGAAGAAATGACTATTTTAAATAAAGAGCATAAAACTACAGGCAATTTTATTACGTGTCAGTTGCACGTGTACGATAAAGTTTCTATATTAACCGGCAGCAATCAAACATTTTCAAACGTTTGTATCTTCTATACTATTAAGGCAAGAGTATCTATACTTATTAGCGTAACACAATTTTAGTTCTTTTGTTTCGCTTTCTAGCTTTCATAATATTCTCAGAAACTGTGGCAGCATCGTGTTTGAAAAAGCTTCAGAAAACCGTCTGTGAAAAATACAACCAAAACTATATGATATGTACGACTATTGATAGAGCTTGATTCAATGCAATTTCTAGGAAAAAATTATGTCAGTGTCGATATATCTAGAAAAAGGACGAAATTTTACACAAACATCATTAAAATTGAAGTGCTTGGTTTTTGAATTGACTGCGTTGAAAATGTTAACGCTTTTATTTAAATTTTTTCGTTCTTCTTTCAAATGAGACAAATGAAATATAATCAAAATTATGGAGCGGAAAAAACTGAATAATGAATTGACTATTTAAATTTGTATGAATTTTAGCTGAACATCCATTAAAATGAACATATCCAATACTAGGTAGTTGTTGTTGTTGTTGTTTTATTCATTTTGAAAACATATTCATCTGCGATGAGTAAAGGTTTTCCTTTATGTGAATTTATAAATAAAATAGCTGAAGATTCTGGTTGAATTACATCTGTTCAAGATGCTGTAGCTGCGGTCATGACAATAGAATTTTACTTATATAATACTTTTTCGCCCAAGTCTATTAGTTAATCTGTATCAGGTATTACTCATCATCATTAATTCTGGTTAAAAGTTCAGACTAGTCGAATTATAAGAAAAGTAACAATGAACTATAAGTTATTAGAGTCATCATTTAATGCAGACATCGTTTTTTTCTGATATTTTTCCTTTCGACATTTTCCCAGTACATCCTTGTCTCTCTCTTCGCCGATGTTCCAGACATTCAGAAGAGTGTCTCAACTGCATCTGGGAACGCGACATTGCTAGTTGAGTTAATTGCGTGCTATTATACAACCTCAATTTATGGCGATACAGGATGACTCCACAGAATATGCCAACCTTCAATTGATATTTCTTGTTATCGCAGACGTTGACCTAACGGCGTATGAAACTGTATATACTAGTAACTAATCCATCATTTATTGTCACAACAGCAAAATAACTATCCTTCTTTATATTTAGCCTTAATGCTATCAGTATCTTCTTCCTATTGTATCCGTCTGCTCTTTTCTATATGCATCCTTCTCTCTTTCGCTTGATATTTTCTTCTCCTTCTTTTTGTCCCTCTCTTTTCTGGTTGCATATAAAAACGTATGCCTTAGATATGTTCTGTAGGACTAATAATATGAATAAACGAGGATAAGACATAGTTCCATCCAAACTAATGTCTTTTGTGTTATAAATCATTACATTAAGTAAGAGAAGAGATAGAGAGAGAGCAATGCATGTGCTTTTACTCTTCATTTCATCAATTCAATCACCATATTAACCTGCTAGAAATATTAATTTAATCGTCCAGTAAACTATTACACAAACACTATTTCTCTTAAGGAATTTGAACATAAAGTTTTGAGTTTTGCAAAACTTAGAATTCAGCTAGTTCATATTTTTCTATGTCCATTGTATTCGGTCGCTCCTAGATGATTAAGGATGACCGTTCTATTGGTTGACAACTGCAATGATACGCTTTCACTACATTGAAAACTCGAATCTCTAATATGTATATTAGATAGAATTTAAAAGGTCTACATGATCTAAGAACTGATAATACTTAATCACTTTTACCGGTTGTTACAGAAACAAATTGAATAATTTTTAGCTTTACTCTCCATTCCCTGTTGCTATGAAAACGAATCCAATAATATATGAGTTTCCCACCAACTGATTGCTAAGGCCTCTGGTAAGAGGAGAGGGGAGCCGCAAAACCTCGGTTTACACTTACACTTACTATTATTTTGTTTGAAAACATACGCGAGTTTCACAATAAGTAGATTGATTATTTTCTTTTATTCTAGATTTTAATAAATAGAACATACGAAAATTTTCTCAAAAACCAATGTCGAATAATTCATACAATCTTAATGTTGACCATAGTTTTGATTATATTCTTCTTGTTCGTCTTGTTGTTTGGGGATATGTTGGCATGGCATTAAGCTTATTTGGTATTGTCGGAAATCTGATAACGATACTTGTACTTATGTCGTCATCATTGCGCACAATATCAACAAATATTTATTTAATTGCATTATCATGTTCAAATATTCTTTTTCTTCTTATATTTCTCCCGTCCTATTCAATAAGATATTTATTAGGCTATAATGCATATATAGCAAATCAATCTCCATCGGCATTTGAAATTCTTCTTACACGTTTACCAATTACTCCTGTGTATAATACAATAATTTTATCAATTATATATTTAACAATAGGTTTGTCAATCGATCGTCTCATATTAATCAAATTTCCATTAAAAGCAAAATGCATATTAACAAAACGTGTCACTTTAATGACGATACTATTGATTTACATCTTTTCTATTATTTATTGTATACCGTATTGGTTAGAGCAACGTTATGTACCAGAAATACAACAATGTCGTCTTACAAATATAGGTAAAAAAATTCATAAATATACAAGAATATATATGTATATACCAATTGTTCATGTCATACCATTTGTTACATTAACATGTAGCAATATAACAATAATACAATATTTAATTGCAACAAAACGCCGAAAACAAAGCTTATGTGGAAAAAAAAACAAGAAAATAGATAATGATTATCATATAACATTAATGGTTGTAGTAATGACAATTGTGCTTGTTTTATGTCAATCACCGTTACTTATATTAAACGCCTGGCATACTATTGATCCACATGGCTCATATAAAAGTTTAAGATTTCATACATTAAATTCATTTGGAATTTTATTAATTGTATTTCATATATCAACAAACTTTTTAATTTGTTTGGTTTTTAGTAAAAAATTTCGATCAACATTAATTCAATTTTTTTTAAATATTCTTTCAAAAGATCAACAAAATTTCGATACACATACACAAACTTTATAAAAGAAAGATTACTATTAAAAATATTACAACGACAAATATCAAAAAATGATGTTACAACAACAACAAATGATTTAAAACATTGAACATGAAATCCCGATGAATTTAATCCACAAACATTATCTGCAATATCAGATGAAAGTCTAATTTCAACATGTAGAGAAGAAACACCTCCACAATTAACATCTACTACAATTTATCTTGAAGGATCAAATGAACAAAAAACTACTGCTGACAGCAAATATCAATCAGTATGTTAATGAAAATCAAATAATGGTATCAATGATGTAATAAACAAGACAAATATATATATATATGTTTCGGTGCCATTTTAATAAAAACAATGAAGAGACAATTCTATTTTTCCTAAAGATCACCTTAGAAACCTAACCCTATATTTATTTAAAGTATTACATTGACATATAAGAATATAAATATTTATATATCTTATAATTGGTTCAAGACGAATAATATTATGTTAATTGTAAGATTAAAGATGATTTGCTGATTGTAGATTGTCTAATAGATTGCTTCCTCAAAAATATACATTGGTTGTACTACTAATTAAATCTATTTAAGAAACTATGTCTAATATAACTAGGGATGAGTGATTCCAACCCAGACCCCGAAACTAAAAAAATTGGCATCTGCTGATTCCGATACGATTCTTCAAAAAGAAATCAATTCCAACACGGTTCCTGTTTCAAGTTAGAAAAATTTTGGAATCGGATCGGAAGCATTTTCATGAAAGACCATAAACGTTTTCTTTATCTTCTAAAAAAAGGATCAAATTAGTTGTTCAGAAATTAATTTAAACAGTATTTAAAAGAAACAAGAGTTTCTCCCAAGAAAATATACATTTCAACGGAAGGAATACATTCAAGGTGCTAGCAAAATCATTGAACAAAAGAAAATAGTGCATTTTCATAATGATTCTATTAAATGAATCTGTTTTTGTACTTGTGGAAGAGAATAGCGTCAATTTTTTTATTCATAAGCATAAAATTCTCAAATATTCCTAGAGAGTATCACTTTCAAAGTCCTTTTTCAGTTGCTACAGTTAATATTTACAATTTTTTCTTGGGTTTTTCTTCAATTCTATTTCATTATTGTGAACTTCAAGTCATGCAGCCATATTTCTCTTTATCGACATTTATTTAACACGTCTGAGAATCCTAGGATGCGGATGTCGATGTAAGTGGGATCTAAGTGTGTGATATACTATGTTTTTGCTTCGTCTTCATCCACACCCATAATTCACTCACACTAGTACTTCAAACAATCATCGACATTAAAGTATATATGAGATATGAGCTGTTCAGTGCCGAAGCTAATTCTACGACCAGTGCCTATATGAAGCACCTGGAATTTGTTCTGTTTATCACAAATAATTCCAATCAAAAACCTCTTCAATGTTATTTGCTACATGAGAGAATAGAAGACTTTCGTGATCAGCTAGGAAGAATCACTTGAATGATCTCCTTTGAAACTTGAACTTACAGTAATCGCCATAAGTGGTCGCGTTCTTTATTTGTTGTTCAACAATGACCTTTGTTTTATCTTTTTTGCTTCGTTTGAAGAAACTATGCATGCTCATTATCTAATATAAATAGAAGCATTTATAGTCATTCTGCTATCAATTTATAACTTTATAAAAGAATGAACATTTCTTTAAAGAAAAGATGGGAAATCGTCTTTTGATCAAGACACAACTATGGCTCACACATGTCAAATGTTGATGTTTCACGATATTTAAGAATCAGTGAGTCGACTGTGAGATTTTGGCTTGGAAGGTAAGAAACAACTGATGATCTAGAAGTTGTACAAAAATCCAGTCGAAAACGGTCTACAACAGAATCTAAGATAGAACTGTTCTCGTTGGATTTCGGTTGAATGCAAATTCAAAACATTTTTGTAGATTTTAATAAGACCACTTGTATGAGCTGACATCTTTCGTTCGACTGTATCGTTCGTCAGAGCACTATTTTCTTACTCTTATCGTTGTTGTTTGTTTCCTAGTGAAATCATTTTGCTATTGATGATTTTGTGAATTTTCAACCATGTGAATGTTATATGTACGGGCATATTTATTTAGTTTTGAATCTTCAGCGAAATTTTCTTTGTCTGAATTCGGTGACAAAAGTCATCATGGGTGTTTTTAGCATGTGAACATTGTTTCAACTGTTACAATTTCAGATGAGTTAAAAACATGAGATCTGAATGTTTTGTCCTCATCTGCCAAAAATAAAAAAAAGCATTCTTGATATGTGTCACTCCATGTATACTACAGGACACCCCCCCCCCCCCCCCCCCCCCCCCCCGCCACACAATAAAAGACCACGGGTCTTCTATTATGTCCAAACGTTAAAAAGTTCTAGGAGGCCCACGTATTATGTTCCATGTATTTTCATAATTTTTAATTAACTCTTTGAATCTCACATTATTTCTGCTGAACTGAATTGAAGTGGACTGTTATATTAACTTATTTCAGATAGAAAAACACAGCATAAAAATCTCATGTGCTCGCGTATGTGACTTACTCAATGTAAGCTTTGGCCAAAGTTCGCTACACTTGAATGGAAATTTTAATTGTTGAAATTTATTAATTGCTCTAGATTGAAATCGAGTGAATACACGGAGTGAGCCGAAAGCAATGAATTTTCGAATTTTTTTCAATTTTTTTTTTTTTTGTAGATTGATAGTTACCATTCATGTTTGAATCACATATCTTAGACGACAATACTGAGAGAAAGAACCTATCATTAGTCTTTGACTGTAAGACTTTGTCGAAAAGCATACGAACGTCATATAAGCCGGATGCTGTCTAATTGAAGTCAATGTCTTTTTTCGCTATATATGGTTTTTGAGTAGTTCCCTACACAACGAGTCTCGAACAATGCAAAGATTAATAAAATTCGAATCACCTGGTACATTTTGATGCAAATAGGCCAAAATATAGAATAAAACAGTACAAAAAGAACAAACTTATATGACAGTCATGTAAAAATGCATGAGAGACATTCCTATTATGTGATCGAAATATGAGATTTAATTATCAGTCTACAAAGAAAAAAAGTGAAAAAAATTCAGTGTTTCCTTTCTTTTGGTTTACCTTGTATTTGAATTTTTTATCGGAATTTTATTTGTGAGCTAACCTATACTACCTCAAAGTAAATCCCGCAAAGTTTTTATAGGCAGCGTCATGAAAGAACATCCTCTATTAATTGGCGTATTTTCCATTACTTCATTTCAAGAGATTTCGTACTAATTCTTATAAATTATATTGTGAAATATAATTATAAAACATGTGCAGCATTTTTGCTACTACGGGACTCAAAGAATTAAAAGGCTTTCTTAGAAAACGGAAGCGATTTTGAGGATTTGAAAACGGCTTTTTACGACTTTTTCAGCTCAGAACTTCCCACACTAGGCATATTTTGATGTAAATACACGAATTAAAATTCTCAGTTTTCGAAAAATATAACTAACTAAGAGGAGTCTTCCATTATTTTTGGCGAATTTATTCTCCAGAGAGTCTTCTATGGCGGAAAGAGAGGGGGTTAATAGTTTTAGTAAACATTATTGTCACCCTCAATACCTACGGAGAGAAAAATCTGAAAGGATATGCAAAATACATATTTGATGAAGTCGGTGTTCGATATCAGAGATTCACTTTTTAGTTATATGAGCTGGTGTTTGTGTAAGAAACACTCCAGGAATAGAAGGATAATGTGTTAGTTAAGGTCCTGCCTCAGCAATTCATTTTCATCTCAGGAGTTCCGAAGTCATTGTTCGAGTGTCAAACAGAGAAATCGTTTACATCATGTGTCATAAGGTACTTCTTGTAGTGTCTATCTTCAATGTAGACATTGTTTCGATATTTTATTTTAGAATTCTATTAGAAAGTTGCTATAGGTTTCTGGCGACAGAGCTCAAAAGGATCAAACCATCATACCTGCTATTTGTTCAAAGAAAAAATGTCATGCTCAGTGTCAGAAGAACCGAGTGCATTCTACTTGGCTTGTTGCAATAATGATTTAAAGACAGTTCAAGAGACTGCTAATCGTGATGGAATCGATGCCAGGGGACCTGATGGCAATACACCCCTTCACGCTGCGTCAATGTATGGTCACGTTAAAGTTGTTCGACTTTTATTGCGATATCACGCATCGAGAACAATTCGTAACGATAAAGAACTTACTGCTGAAGAATTAGCACTCAATGAAGAGACTAAAGCGGCGTTCAAGGACCCCATACGAACGATCACGGATTCGAACCATTTCGTTGCTTCATCACGCGAAGTTGAATGGCTTGATTCCTATAAGAATGCTTACCGCATCTCGTACGAAAATCATGAACACATGAAACGATGGCTGACGAAGGTTGCTCTACAAAAACTACTCAACGCAATCGTCACTGACTATATTGACAAACTGAATTTTGCCGATGAAAAAAGTCGTGAAACAATCAAAGAGTATCTATCTTATACGATAGAACTAGATGATCCCCTTGGCTTATTGATGGCATACACGTGTCCAAGTGGTAATTTCTTTAATTTGCTAAATCGTAATTTAGCCGAATTAGGTTCCGACTTCCGTTTTGTCAGCACTCAAGCTTTAATCAATTCAGGTTATGTCGACAATGAACCACCACAAGATCTTGGTCAATATATTTTTGCTTCTATCATTATCAATCACCCTCGTTTTCGCCCATATCAGTATGCTGGAACTACTTTTCGTGGAATGAAGATTACAAAGAAAGATCTTGAAGAATACAATAGTGGGAATATTGTGATGACTCGCTCGTTCCTTTCTACATCAAAAAATCGATCTATTGCCGAACTATTTCTTGATTGCGAAGACTACAAGATTCATCCACCAGTTATATGCATTTATAAAGTAATCAATCCACGATCAAGTCTCGTAATCGAAAACATGAGTAAAGTCAAGGACGAGGAAGAAGTGCTGATCGTTCCGTTCACTGTTTTTCGAGTAAAAGAACAACGCGATACGCAGTTAATTCAACAAGGTCAAACTTATCCTGTCAAAGAAATTGAATTGGAAGAATGCGCTCAAGTATGAACTCTCATTTATTTTTTTGAAGAACTTCAGATTGATTTCATGTTAATAAAGAAAAACTATCTCGTAGTCACCCTAGAAACGACAACAAGAACTTTTTACCAATCTTCTTTACTCTGAAGCGATCGTGAATATATTACGAATGCAAATGATTAATCATCTGATGAATGGAGTGTCGGTGTATGTGCCGCAGACATAACATAACGTTGACAATCAATGTTGTCTAATTGTCTTCGTACATTGTAAAGTTCATTTAGTAAACTAAGAAATGAATCTGATACGAAAAGTTTCTTATGATTTACAGGCTTATCACAAACGATACATTTTAATTGGTAATCAACCTGTACGAAATATTTGGAAATACAATCTTTACAACAGATAGTATGACATACAGTTATAACTGGCTCCATATCCATACAAATCATGCACTCAGCTTCACGTTTTGGTAGTTTTTTTTTCATTTCAGAAGGTAGTTGAGCTTGAATCCGATTCATTAAAGAGTCAATTGTACTGCCACCAAACATTCTTTGAACAATATTGCTATAACCCTTTCCGACTTTTTCGACAATAACTTTTATGAAATCTTGAAGAGTAAATGCATCATCTAGTTGAGTCATTCGTGTTCTTCCCGTCATCAGTTGAAAAGCAATGTTTCTGATTTCCATTGTAAATTTCTACAATAAACTCGCTACGTCAAATTTCAAACGACAATTGGTTTTTGAGGGCGGGTTGTGGGATGCATATATTGATAACTCATCATTTTCTTCAATTAGTCACTTGCTCATCAAAATAATATTTTCTAACTTAGACATCTCATGTATTAGAAATATTTATTTATTTTGCAATTATTATCTTCATCGATGATTGTTTCACAAGTTTTCTGCACTGGAAAAACTAGGTACTCAATGGAACGTAAAAGTCTTCCGAAAATTGAAATGAATTCGAAACTCTTTTTAGGTTTACTGAAATATTGCTCTCTATCGGCTTTAAAAAGAGTTTCATATTCGAAGTTTCGTATGAGACTCAATAAGATATCACTCAACTCATGTACATTCCTCTAGATATACTTCTATGAGTCGGTACCTACTTTTTAAACCCTTACATCAAAAGTGGGCAGAGTGAATGGATGTGGGTGTGGGTGCTTTTGAGTATGAGTATGATGTCAAAGAATATCCACATCCACATTCATAGCTTCCAAGTCCATCAAAACCAACATCCCTACCACACCTTAAATGAAAGTTAACATGAGTACCATAAAACGTGTGGGTGTTACTGAAAAAAAAATACTCACAGCCACACTTAAATCCTACTCATACCAAAATTCCACCACATCTCACACCCTACACTCACAACCTTGATCGAATTTCACGCAAACATATTTGATATAATTTGAGTCAAGTTGGCTTCGAAAATCTTGGGGCGACGCTTGGAAAAAATTCGTTAAAGATAACGAGTAAGAACGCGTTGACGAAAAAAATTTAACGTATTTTTTTGACTAAAAATGTATCCTTGGAAAAAGTGAAGCGTTCAAACACGTTCCAACTCGTATTTACCAATAAGGAATGCGTTTTTTGCCATGACAAACAGGTTTATGGTGAACAATTCTCATGCCTAGAGCGACACTTTCTCAATAGAGGTGGTTTAATTTGTTCAAGAATAAACTGTTCTTTCAGTTGTGAAAACTTGTATCTCAAGAATGCACCAAAACATTTAAAAATGAACGCTTTCGTAGAGTTTCAGTACATGTTTCTCTCATCTAATGCGAACGTGTTCATAGTTAAATGGCATTTATTTCTTACTATGTCTTACAACTCATCAGGATGTAGATGTGAATAAAATGAATATATATGTTATGTGTGCATTCCTTTAAGTTAATTGAGTAATGTTTATTGCGCAATAACTACAAAGATTGCAATGAATCAATTCTTTCATTTTCAGGAACGAATGACCTATTTAACAGATCATTATTTAGTGTCATTCAATCGAAACAGTAGAAATACAATGAAAAGCCTTTAATATAATGATATGTAACATAGCATAAAATCGTTATGAATCTCTATAGAATATCTTTGCAATCTAACAAATTTATTAAGATACTACAATAATGGATACAAAAAGAAGGTTTCACGTTGCGGAGACGGCATAATAATTTTGATAATCGAACTTTCTGAGCAAGAGATCATAGGTCCATGTAAACCCAGGCCATATTGTAGTATTATTTCCTTTCGGATCTTGATACCATGAATGACAACCACCCACTTGCCAGACAGTGCTCTTTAGTTTCGACTGTATTTCTTCATTGAATTTGTCGCTAACGTCTTGTTTCACCGCCAATGCTCGAATGCCATTCTCTTGCATATAGACCAATGCTTCCGTAATATACTTCAGTTGTGCTTCGATCATGACTAGTACAGAATTGTGTCCAAGTCCTGTATTGGGACCGAGAAGAAGAAACATATTGGGAAAATTGGGTACGGTAACACCACGATAAGCCTTAAAACAAAATGAAAATACTAGTTTATTTATTTAAACGAACTTGAACGCAATGCGACAATTACAACAAGGAGACAAATGAACGTTGTCATAAGAAAAAAAAGTCAACTGTCAGCATATCAGAGATAGAACCGGCGCCGATGATTGAACGATTCGGTCATCCAAAAACCATGCCGGCTCCATCTCTGCAGTATGCAAGATACCATTCAAATGCTTCTCATCGTTAGCGACTACATTTTTCATGACAGATTTTAAAAAGTTATCCTTCACTTTCTTTCAAAAAGATTTAAAAAAAAACTATATTCTACGCATTTCTATGGATCATCTCTAAAGAGTAATATACCTGCACGGTTTGTGACCATTGTTTCTCAAGCGATTGGCCTTGAATGCCAAACATAGGAATATGAAGTGAATGAACTTTAAAACCTGTAGCCCACACGATAATATCAACTGGATACTCATTTCCATCACAAGTGACAATCGAAAGTGGTTTCACTTGACGTATTCGATTTGTAACTAGTGTAACATTAGGCTGTTGTAGTGTCGAAAACCAATCACTACTCAACAATATTCGTTTACAGCCGAAATCCCATGTTGGAATCAATTTTTGGCGTAATTCTGAATCTTTGACTTGATAAAGAAACACATTTTTGACGAGCTTTTCCGCAACAAAACGAATAGGCCATCGATAAACGAACGAGAAAACAATAGATTCAAGTCTCCAATAGATGCAAGCTCGAAGGAATTTTTGAATTAGTGGAATACTGGTGAAAATGTACTTTTCGAATGAAGTCACTGCTTGATTCTTTAAAGTAGTAATCCAAGGTGCCGTTCGTTGAAAAACGTATAAATGTGAAACACCAAATTTTTTGTGTAATTCAGGTATACATTGTATAGCACTTGAACCAGTACCGACAACGGCAACTCGTTTTCCTTTAAAATTAATTTTATCGTTCCATTCAGCCGTATGACACATTTCTCCTTTAAATGATTCAAATCCTTCAATATCTGTTGGGTATGATGCATTCGACAGTAGACCATAGGCTCCAATAAGATAACGGCCATAATAATATTTTTCATCACCACTATTTTTGTGTACTGTAGTCACTCGCCATAGTTGCAGTTCGTCGAGCCAATCACATCGAGTAACTGTCGTATCAAATTGAATATATGAACGAATATCATATTTGTCTGTACATTTTTCTAAATAGTCGGCAAGTTCTGATTGACGACTATAATTGTAGCTCCATTGTGGATTCATTTCAAATGAATACGAATATAGATTCGATGGAATATCGACTTGACAACCTGGATATCGATTTGCATACCATGTACCGCCAACATGTGAATGACGTTCTAATACGACAAATTTATCCATGCCCATTTCTTTCAATTTAATACTCATTCCTAAACCCGAAAAACCTGCACCAATAATGATTGCATAATGCTCATCCTCATTATCACTTGTCCATTCTAATTTCGATTTCTTATTGGCATCGGCTCGACCGAGTGAATCGAAAATAAGCCAATAAAAAATATGGCCAACAAAACCGAGTATTATCGAAATGGTCCACGTAAGGTAGCTAATCGCTACCAGTGCCAGTAATTGCCATTTAGGCATTAAATCGGTCGACGACATTACTCGTGTAGCTCGCCAAAAACTAACTACGCACACAATGAAACGCACACTTTCTATGTAAAGAAGGACGATAAAGGTGTAAATACAGATAAGCTTAAGTCCACATACACAACGACCCACGTCACATGTTTCTTTTTTCGTTTCTTTTTTCCATACTATGGAGTATTTGATTTCAATCTGAAATTGGAGAACAGGGGGAGCTTTAGAATAACACATTTATATACACAGGGTGTAACAAAACCATTACGCCCCTCCCCCTGCACAGCTTGAAGTATTTTATACCAAATTAATGCTCATCAAAAACTGAATTTATGAGTGTGTAATTCAAGCAATTATTGCCTATGAAATAATTGAAATGTCTTGAAGAGTGTAGGTGTTCTTCCTCTTTCAGTGACACCCACACCTATATAATAAATTACAATGATGAACAGTGATTCCATTTTGTTTCAATCATAAAACTTCTCATCAAAGTGACTTGGAAAATATATTAGAAGTATTTTTATCTATTGTCACTGCAGAGTAATAGTCGAATGCATACTTCCACATAGATGGAGTCATCGACACGAATAAAATAGATTTGATATACGAAAAAACAAACACCTCTAAGACAATAGTTTTGGTAAAGTCATGCAGATACCAGAAAAAGTCGATGGAAGCAAGCATGAAATAAGTTTCGTTGATCGGTCTTTAAGGGAATCCTCTTCACGATGGACTTTGGTGGACGTTTATCTTTATGGATTGAATAACTCATAAGATAACTCTTTTGTCTTCTTTGTCGTTCGAACTCCTAAACAAAGTTACTTTTTTGTTATCGTATGATTCACTTTTGCTTGATATTTCTTTGTTTCTTTTCGCTGTTCTCCAAAGTGTTAGATTAGAATAGAATTGCAACTGAATTACGTCATAATTGTGATTGCTTTGTGACTTGTTAAAAGCATCTGAATGAAGAAATCTATAACGCAAAAAATGGTTTTAAATAGGACGACACAAGATATGTAAGGTCTTTTACAGTCCTATCCTCCAACATCCGCAAAACTCTTGAATTTCACAATCTTGCTCGCCGTCTCAACTCGCAGAACTGGCAACAGTCCATTAGTAGGAATAAATCCGCTGATTCAACTGGATGTCTACATAATGGACACGTATTTTGTACTCTCAAAACACCTAACATGCAATCAAAATGAAATGTGTCTTTAGTTTGACAAGACCATTGAGCAAAGCGTTGATTCACTTGTAAATTTTCAAGGCAAATGCTGCAGCTATTATTAAGTATGTTATCACTGACTATTTGACAACCAGTCATACGAAATTTTGCAATGACACGAGACGATGCTAATATCAATGCGTTGTGATATTCGATTGATGTCATTTTCATATTGATGTTGGCGATATCGTGTTTCTTCTTCAATCAGGCACTCCAGAAGTTGCTGTTCCTAACTAAAGATAACACAGCAGCTCGAAATATTTTGGTCATCACAGTTTTAAAAACAACTCGAACATACTTAGATCGATATTGATCACTGAGGGCCATCAATCGTCGATATAACCAGTCGAATGAATTGAAAAAACTACTATGTTTGCATGCAGGAAGATAAATATATCGATAATCATCATCATTTCCAAGGATAACGCAATCCACTCTGACATTGCCGATATCATCGATAGGAATATAAAATCTTTGAAGAATTTCTGCAGAATTTTTGTTTAAATGTATTATCAACATGAGAAGATGCTTGTCACGCACTATCAAGACATGTTCATTGTATTGAATAAAAGATTGTCGAGGTTTTCTATAGAGGCAATGCCTAATGTTCGCATTTGTTCGTTAATAGCCCGGCTGTAAAATTAGCCATGGTAAACATGGGGGAGAATTGATGATTAGGAAGAAATTTGTAAGATGTTTGGACACAGCATATACCAACAGACATACCAGAAAATAAAATACATAAGGAGTATAAGAACATGAAACATCGAATGTTTGAACTAGATCGCTAAACTGATGGTATTCGTATGAATAATCCGAAAAGACTTATTCATTCATGGATCTATAGAGATATTCTCAATTAGAATACCACATGTTTTTATTACTCTTTCGTATCTCGAAGTCGTTGATGATGAGTACGTCACAATAACAATGAAAAAGACGCAACATTTCGCATAGTTGGTTGCTCCGAAGTTTATTGTTTTTGCCAACGGAGCAGGAAAATAAGAAAACAAAAAAAATACCTGTCTTTAGTTGGTGGCGCTGAATGACCAGTAGCTTCTTTGAAGTAGATCATATGTGTAGATGTTTTTTTTTAAATATTTCCATTCGAAAGTAAACCAGAAGCAAACAACGTGTTTTGATACATTGAGTGATTTGTATTTAAATGTGCTTCGATTTATATGAAAAAGATACAAAAACTGATTTTTTAAAGAGTTGAAAGTCGACACTTGTTCGTGAAAATTTCAAAATTTTGACAGTTTGAAAGACCGGTGACGAAACTAAATGCATTTTGTAGCTATAACACGTTTTCATAGGATCGAAAAAATACAGACAGAGTTTTATTCCGCACGTTCTAAAGTAGAACTATTAACCAAGATAAAAAACTCAGAATTTTCATTTACTGCGTAAAGTAAAGTCTACTGTAGAGACTGAACTAGCATCAGTACACATTTCAGATGGGTTTCATTATTAATCTGTCCTATATTGAGAAGGTATGTGAATTTATTCTTTTAGATTTCGAAGATCCTTTTGAGATAGAAGAAAATAGGGTAATGATACCTACCAGTTGTAAAATCTGAAAGCAAATAAAAATTTACTATGCGAATCACTGCAGTAAGAACAATTGTTTTATTGCCTTTCAAAAATTTAAAACGGTACCCAATGTGAATATTTATAATAAATATTTATCAATCATTTAAAATTTTATTCTTTTACTAAAAGCAATTACGATGTGCATGTGGGAGAGGGAGGTTAGGTAAAGAGAAGATCTACACGTATAGTCTTTGGAAGAAATGGGATGACAAGTGTAAAAAAGTTGAATAAGCTATTTGAAGTGTTCATAAATTCAAAGAAAAGAAATCAAGGAAAAACTTTTCATTTAAAATGAAGATTACGGGTACAATAGGGATAGAATGAATAAAAAATCAAAATAGTATTTCTAGGTTAAATTAGACTCATTGTTAGTAAGCAATTGAGAATAAACAGTTTCACTAATAGGTCTTTCTGTATGATGTCTAGTATTCTTTCGTTTTACATAACGATTGTATAATATATATATAAATCCAACGAGTATAAAAATGAACACAATTAAACATATCAAGAAAATTGTTATGAAACTTTTGTTGATAGATTTTTTAGAATTTGATTCTTCATCAGTTGATGATATTGGCAAATTTGTATAACCACTATAAATAGACACAAAATATGTTATGAAAAGTTCGAGAAAGGAATCTGGTATTTTGAATGAAGTCGAATATCAAATGTGTTTTCTCCTGTTTACTACGAGTAGAAATATGACAATAGGGTCCTGCTATAAATATGAATATTTACATATAAAATAAAAACAAACAATATAATTTTTTTATTGCAGACTATTTGAGAAAGACTTTTCATACTATTAATCAAAACCTATCAAGACGAAACTATTTGAAACACAGAATAATATACGCTCATCCTGATTAACTCCATGGTGAACTGCAGCTTATTGATAGAAGGAGGAGGTAGCAATTGATGCACAATTTTCTATTATAAACATATATAGGATGCGAATTAGAAAATTTCTCAGTCAGAGTATACAATGAGAAAAATGTTTATCTTGTATATCTGTATCTTGGTATTATTAGAGTTATTCAACTAGGTTCGAATTGAAGATGCAAGCATTTACCTCCTTCAAGGTATGATTTAGGGAAAAATCTGAATCTACCGAGCTCTACTTCTCGTCATGACATTGATCTTATTAATTAATAATTGCTGATGGTTATATTCACTGTGCCTAGAATCACACAAAATATATCTCAGTGTAATGGTCTTCCCAACGACAGAATGATTCTTTTTTTTTTGTGAGAATTTCTAACTTGTCTAAGACAATTGTATAGCTTACAAAGAAACATCTAATTATTTATGACTAACCGTTTTGCTACTACAGCACGCGTTGTTGTAATCGGTGGTTTTTGACATATAACAGTTGCTAGTCGATTACAAGGTATTTCATTGCATGAAATCGATGGTAAGTATTCAGATCGAAAATCAATGGATGCACAAGCAGTTTGATGAGTTTCTATTCGATCTATGTCTTTCATTGACACGTCAGGTGATAAAATCAAATCTCTATAGATTTGATGAAATTTTCTTTCACATAAAGTATGAAGATCATCGGAATTCGGTACAGATATTAAACTACTTCTATCGGTTGTGACAGGTCGCATGGTTGTACGATTTCGATTATCATAAAAAATATCAACATGTACGACACCAGATGATGTGTAACTATGCTGACGTAAAAATAAAAATTTTATTAAAGATATTTTCGTAAATTTCCCAGGTAAAAATAACGCGGCTTTATCACGTTCACATTCAGCTTTTGCATCATGCCAAGTAGTTTCATGAAATAATACTTTATAACAATAGTCATTCACCAAATGATAATCTGTATCATCACCACATGAATAATCTGTCGATACATTCACTGATATGACGGATGAATCATCATCTGCAGTTGAAGAAGTTGCAGTTAAATTAAATTCCAGGTTTTTATCAACACAAACTGGTATAGCAGACATAGATGAACATTGATCTGATTCAGTAAAACACCGTTGAAAAGTTAGCGTATTATCAACGATAATTTTTTCGCGCTGAAAAGCAACACAGTTTTGGTCAAATGATTTTGATGCTTGAAAACATTTTCCAATAGAACGATCTAATGTTATATTGTTATTTATGATATCCGATGTACGATCGATCCAAAAATATTTTGTATCATTCAGTGGACTTCCAGTATAAGAAAATAAATATTCACTAGAATAAATTACATTTAGCTTTGATAACAATACTAAATCTTGAATTTCTAAAATATCATTTATCTTTGCAAGCGCACCACCAATAGATTGACAATAAGATTGTGCAGTTGAGAAAGAATTTTTCTTCACTGAAAAATCAATCTGTACACATCGTTGTTTATTATTATTATATTGTAAACCTAAAGAAAAAGTAAGAAATTTTATTGTTTCTATTTGATTTAAAAGTTTTGATGGTTTCTTCTCTTACCACGTGGACATCTTGGGTGCGTTACATACATGGAATATATCGTTGAATTACTTGTATTTCCACATGTATGTAAGTAATTACCTTGACATTCTTGAGTACAATCAAAATCTACATGTATTAATAATATATCATCTTGTTTTTTTTTCTTTAGCACATTTGTACATAGACATTTATTTGAATTTAGAAGAGCATATTGTTGTTTATACTTCTTACATAATTCTAAACAATGACGTGGATGAATATCATTTATATGAATCAAACTGAATTGATATATTCCTGATTGATTGTCAGAACTTAAATGTATACAACCATCATAAATGAAATCAGGATATGGTTTAGGATCATTATTATTATAGATATATTTGGATGCAAATGAATTTTCAGATAAATGAAAGACAACAATTGTATTTGTATTACCACAGAGCTCATTTTGATTACCTAAAATTGTAAATAATTATGAATGCACTCACTTAATCATATACAAATCTAAATTCAAAGCACTTGAATAAGTGGTTATTAGAAAAAGAAAACTTGTTAGCACAATTCTTTTAGAACTGAAAATGTTCCAAGAGTACACTTTTTAGTCTCGGCTACCCAGATCTGTAATAAAAGGTTGAGGACTGAAAAGCTTTCAATCACTAGTTTCTTCGAAAATATATGTGAGTTTCATACGACTAGATAATTTATAATGAAAATTGTCATCAATAGTGAGCATAAGGGCTCCTATCAATTTTGAACTTGGGCAGATCTAAAAATGCGTTCAGGGTACGAGTCTGATTAATTGAAAGATGACTAATATATTAACTATAAATTATGGTATATGCATTGTGAAGCTTTTAGTCGCACCGTCGATATGTCAGCAGTTGGCGCTACTTTCACTACATTCTATTATGACTACGACAATAGTTAGATCAACAATTAAAATATCAACGTATGAAGTAGAACTTGGCAATCTCTATACGACGACTTTGAAGAAGTCTATCATTGCTAGCAAACATACGTCTTGTTCTGTAATCGAATATCACTGAAAAATTTATAGTTCCTTTTTTCAGACATGTTCAATATTACTTTGATATTCATTGAAGTTTTCTGTTCGAACTCGGATAGTCATTCCAAGTATATGATGAAATTCAAGATGAAATAAAAGTCGAGTTTTCGTTTGATTTGAAAAAAAATATTGAGCAAAAATCGGATAGGAATGTTTCAATATAGTTATTAGCAGAATATATTATGATGTTTGGAGAGTAGAAATTCGCTATTTTGGATGGATTATAATAAAGAAAATCGATATGATCGCAGATCGCTGTAATATTTTGTGAATCGTGATAGTTCAGAGGTAATATTGGCGAAAGTACGGTGAATTTTCTTCAGATTCTTTCTGGAAACAATATTAACATACAACAGCTGTGAAAGCTGAAACTGAGGTTCCGCAATATCACGAAGCAGAACATTTTGAACATGTGTTTTAGCATGAAGTATTGTTACAACACGATCTTGAGGTTATTTCTCACGAACAAAATGTTGAAATAAAATTTGACTGATTGAAAAATGAAAGAAAGATATAATTATCTATCTGTTAAACATACCTGGACAAGGATTTCCACAATCTTTTGTTCTATGTTTTACATGGTTCCTTTCATTATCAATCACAAGTGACTCATGAGCATTAACACAATAGCATTTATTCATATTTATAACAGCTAAATTTGTTTTTAATGTTTGACAAACAGATAAGCATAATTCATGCGTTAAATGATTTGATATCATTGATGGTAAACCAAGTGTTGATGGTTTACTATAACAAATTTGATGAGAGCTGTAACCAATGATTGCTTTAACTTTACATAAAACATGTCTTGGTTGTGAACAATTATTGATTTGAGTATTTCTTAAAATAGAACGTCTTTGTTTTTCGTCGATTATTGAGCGTGTGAAAACTAAACATGAATCATCTTGTATGCTTGAGTTATTATCGTAATTTGACTTAATCATTTGAAATTCATTTATAGATGAGAAATTGACATCAACATTGGACACTAATGATGGGAAATCTTTAACATACCGGTGAAATAATCCAATTTTTGGTTCTGTATTAGATGCATCTAAGAAAGAATTATTTTGGTTAATGTTAGAAATCATGTATAGTATGTTCTTCCTTATTAGGTTCTATACAACACTCGACATCTTTGTATCATAATTTATAGTTGTCAGATCATAGCTGTTTTCGTTTTGGTATGAAATTTACTCGTTTTTTTTTACCATGAAATCTTTCTTTATCTGTTTGACGTTTTAATTTTGTTTTGGGATTTTTTATTCTCAGATTAAGAGTCTTCAGAAAAAAAAAACTAAACAGAACATACATGCACTTTTTCAAAGAAATTACATCTAAAAATGTGAATTTGAATTCTAATAAGAATGTTTTCAAATATTCATATCTACAAACAAGGTGTTTAGTAAATTCGTAGAGGATCGATAAAAGTAAAGACACTCATGTTCTAGTATAGTTATTTTTCAATCCTAAATAATCTATGAATAAAATTCACTTGATCATACCAAAAAGCATTAGTAGACCATTCACTCTAATGTGGGCTATATTGCCCATAATCGATCGTACGGACAAAACATCGTTAATCTAATCATAGTTAATTGTTGAGTAGTTTTCATAATTTAACAGCTGACTATCTTCTGATCGTCATTGTAATACAGTGAATACTCATAGCTGTTCTCGTGATGACATTTAAACAATAGTGTGAACAAATATATAATACGACAATTCAAATGAATCCCTCAAATTCTATTATTCAAGGTGTCTGTTCATATCTTATATATTCTCACTTGTCTAGTACTTATTTCACTAATCAATCAATAGGATTCTCTGAACTAAGGGTGACTACTTGGTAAAAAAAAATATAAGATTCATTTCGAAGAAATTACTTGTATCAAGAAGAAAAAAACCAAGACGTGCTTGCCATCGTGATGTATACTGTACAATTTCGCCTTTAAAGAAATCACTTATAAAATTGATGGATTTATTTATTGCTATCTTCCTCGTTTCTTCAATATCATCAAGATACAAATTTGGTGTAACTTCTAGTAGTTTACTTTTCTTCTTCATATCTTCCGGCAAATCAATACAACAATTTCTTGCTTCTTGAATTGTCTTACGGTAATCCGATATCTGATAACACTCTCTGTTTATATCAAACCACGATGGTGGACAAGTATCCATGTTTCTATTAAGATCCAATGTATAAATTGGATAAGCTCTACTATCATATGATAATGAATCTTCATTTATAGGATTTGTTATGCATAAACGATTTGATAATATATTTGAACCCAAAGAATAGGAACGTACACGTAAACAACCGCTATCTAATACATAATATGTACTAAAATTTCTATTAGGAAGATTTGAATTTATTGTATTGGTAGTTGCTGAACATAACCATAAAGGATCAATAGTAATAATATCATCAAAATCAATTGAAACAATAGATTTAGTTAAGTTTAATTTTCCAATAATTTTTAGAAACATATTCCACGTTAGATTTCCATTATAAATATAATTCATTGATGGTGATGGACATAAACTCGAAACTCCTTTATAGTTAGATATACATTTTTTTAATTCATTTATATAAATAAAACCAACTGGACATGTAGCATTTAAATCATATATAGCCCATATACGTGAATCATTTAATGAACCACATTTAAATTTATGTTCAACTATCGAATCACCCATTATGTTATCACAATAACGATCACAAAGGTTATTTGGTAAAACTGTTAAATCAAGTACACCATTACGATCTAGATTTAAGTTTTGGGGCATTATACATAAACATTGATCGTTGTCACCATTGAAAGCTAGAAATAAAATTTCTGATTTCTTTAATTCTTAGGCATGAAATTGGTTTTCTTTAGTTTTTGTATGTCTATTATAATTCACTTTAAAGCGAACCTTTGTAATCATCTTTAGAAATTGAATACTATTATTGGCTGTTCCATATAATAATAAAGCAACGTTATTATTACATGAAAGACTCATTTCAAAGAATTAAGAAACAGAGAGCGTCACAGAGCATGCCTTACACATTAACTATGCTCATGACGAGATCTTAAATTTTAATAAAAATAAATGCGAAAACCTCGGATTTAAATCCGAGTGTTATGTGTACTTCAAAAAGTGAAAAGGTATATTCACTGTGTTTTTTATCACTAAATTGCAAGGAAAAAATACAGG